TCAGTTTTTTAATTTTAAATAATTTACCCAAATTTACTCGGTTCTCATGTTTATTCAATGTAATGTGAAAATATGAATTATTAATAATAAATCAATATTATTGTTATTCATATATATGTGTGTATATGTATTTAATGACAATAACTTATTATTATAATAATTATATTATTTTCAAATAAATAATATACTGCACTAGCAGTAAATATTATTTAAAAGAGTAATATTGAAAGATAATTTCAATAAAAAAACAATTTGCGTTAATTGGTACATTTTTTAAATTCATTCTTTAACAGGCCTTTAACATTATTTACAAACATGTTTACAATTTTAATTTATAACACTTATACAGATTAAATATAGTAATTTTATTATTTTATATAACACTTACAATGAAAAATATCCGCTCGCATGTGGGATCGAACGCACTCCCCCCACCCTTGACGACCTGACTCGAAGCATTTAAACCGCACGGCCACTGAAGTCTGGGTGTGAACTCTCCTAATTTACTATATCAATGCCAGTGTCATATATTCTGTTGCTTATAAGGACGATGTGAAAACTATGACTAAAATTATTACACATAATAATCCCGAATTATATTAATTATTATATATGAATATTTAAATAAATAATTCTTACTGCAATTATAATCATTAAACAATTTTTTAAAGTATTACTTTTAGTTTTTTCAAAAATTTTTTAAATAATTGAATTCTTATGACGAATTTCAATAGAATTGTTAAGTATAATTATACACTTTTCGAAGAATTCGATTAAAATTGTATTAAAAATAATTAAGAAATTCTGAGATTAACTAAGAAATTTTGAATAATAAAAAAATTTTGAGAATTTTATTATTTATAAAAATAATTGAATTATTGAGAAGAAACTTATAAAAAATTTGTAAATCCTTATTGAATTTTTGTGAAAGGTTTTTTATTTATGAAAGTAATTAAATTTTTGCTTATATTTTATTTTGCCAAGAATCTTGTTAAAAATTTGGAAAATAATTGAATTTCAGAGAACTATTTTATTTATAAAGATAATTGAAATTTTGATGAGAATTTAAACAAATTTTTGAACATAATTGAATTTCTGTGTAGAATTTTGTTACTTTTGAAAATAATTAAATTTCTACAATAATCTGTAACTTCTCCAACACTCAATTGTTTATAGTGTTTTTAACTAAAATTCTTCTACAGATAAATTATTTTTAATAATTAATCAAATACAATATGTTAAAAAATTTATCTAATTTCAGGAGAATTTGAATTATTAGGCATTTTTCAAAAATCTAAGATCTTAAGAATTTTTAATTAAACTCATTGAAAATTTTATTTATAATAATTCATATAAACCTACAATATTTATTTTTGAACGATTCTTTAGATACTAAATTATTCCATTGAATTTTGAAGTGACAATCCATGTATAAATTCAAAGAAGACCGAAAAATCGGGCACTAAAGTCTTGATTGTACTTTGATTTGTGCTTATTAAAAATTTTGAATTCTAGTGATGCCAATGAAGTCCCATATAGCATACAGTTAGACAGTCTAAATTAGACCGTCCAGAAAAATCCCATATAGCATACAGTTAGAAAGTCTAAATTAGACCGTCCAGAAAAATCCCATATAGCACACAGTTAGACCGTCCAGATTAGACCGTCCAGATGCGTCTAGTTGGGGTAATCTCTGGACTCCAGACTGCCCCGAAATTTTTCTACACGGGAACTTATAAAAACATTTTTTCGGGCAACGACCTTCTTGGGAGGTTTTTTTCTTCTTCTTTTCATCACGTTATTAGACTTATAATGCGGTGTCTAATGACATTTATTATAAACCATAGTCGATTAGTTAAAGTGACTAAAAGGCAACTGTTTTTCTCTGTTGGCATTGTCTAACTCAATTAAGGTCAATTGTATCGGATGATCGATTTTGAAAATCGATCAACACGAATTATACGCTTCTTTCTAGAGAATATCATGAGCATAAACTTGTATAGGAGATTATTTAAAGAAATCACACTAGAGTCTCAAAGGCATCTTCTACTTGAATGCTACGCTCTGCACGCCCTAATTTCATGACGTTGAGTGATCAGCTCGTCCAGGCATAATGTGAATGAAACTTTAACCATCAGCAAAACATGTGAAATAACTTTTCCTTTCGTGAATTCTGAACTCCAAATGGAAGAAATTCTGAATACTAATTTGATTAACTTTCTTAAAAATAGAAAATACAATTTCAATATCAATCGGTTGGAAAGTAATTTGGAGTAATCGTGGATCATGTCGAAAAAGATGTCGCTTATGGTCAGGAACAATTTTCTCATACTTTTATCAATCTTTTCACCCGCTTTAAACTTCCTCAGCGATATTTCTCTTCTTTGGAGTTCAGTGATCTGAAAGTCGAAAACCTTTTAAACCCTTGGTGCTATTTTATAAAAATACTTTTTATGGACGTTGAAAGGAGGAATATATGAATTATTTCTTCGTGGTTATTAGGTAGAGTTGGACTTTATATTAATCGTAATTTATTGTAAAAGAACAAACACAATTAAACACAGGGAATACACGTAAAATGAACGTTTATTCAATGATAATGGAACTTTGCAAGCTGTAGTATGTTTACTTGAAAATTACTCGACAGTGGTTAGTGCTAGACAGATTGCCTCTTGGTACTTGATTCAGGTACAAAAATCTAAGTGTACCTCTGCTAGTCCATTTGCCTCAGTGAGTGTATTTCTGTTGCAATTCCAACAGATAGGAAACTATTAATTGGATGTAGAATAATTTTCTAGATATAGTTTATTCTAGTGGGTAACTATTAAAAGTTTTTCATCAGAAGGAGGCACGAGGGGAGCTGAAGAAGAAGGATAACGAAATTGATTAATTACGATCGCTTGGGTAAATTGTGACAGAACGTGACCTTTTGAGTAGTAAAAATGATTAGATAGGCTACTAGGCAGGAAACGGCATGTTCTTTTGCAGTTTCTCTCCTCATCGGCTCGGTAACCCGGTGGCACAATCTCCTGTAATGATTGGTCGTCATGGAGACGCCCTTCTCCTCCTTTCGCCTCTCGACCAACCCCAGTCTTCGGAAAAGCGACATTCCCAACCACGTCGAGAATGGTTTCGAATCAATACCCCGTTTCAAATTTGGATCGATTTAATTTTTGGAAAATATATTTTCTTCTAGCAATTTCACATGGATTCCTTACTCTCACCAAAAAAAGGAAATGGAAAAACTAGCTCGAATACATCTATTCAAACGAGTTTCGGAATAGAAGCTGATAAAGCTCTTTTGAAAAGATGGAAAAGTCCTAAATGTATTAAATTTGTGATCAGAGAGAGATTTTAGTATTAATTTTTCTTAAAGTACTCCTCGAAAAGTTAACTTTAATTATTGATGTTTAAAAACACCCTTTTCGCGTGGACAAATAAAATAGTAGTTCGTTAAATTCTTCTCGCGTGATCAATGCAATAACCTATACGGTTTGAATGTTAATTACTCATAGAGTCCATTAATCTTTGAACCTTCTGTAATTATCTTTGCGGCTTTTAAGCCAACCTTTTCATTTTCTGGAAACTCTTAGAATTGCAAAAACTTTATTATTTTATAATTAATGAAAATGCAGAATACTTTCTACTGCTTTAGACATATTTTTCTCAACTATACAAAGAAAAAGCAGTCAAGTGAATTACATATAAAAAGCTTTTCAAAGAGGACTTGCATGAGTCTAATATAAAATTTTTCCAGATTCGTTGCGTTATTTAGATAAAAAATTGTTAATTAGGTTTGATTGTTAATTCAAATTTTTCTATTAAAAGTCTTCTTTTTGACAAGCCTTTTTTCTATGACCTTAATTGACTCTACAAAATCCCTTCTTGAAAATTAATTTCCTATTTTATACTTTTCTAATGTTTAAATGTTTTTAAAATTTAAAAACCAATATGTGAATATTATGCACTTTTTGATGTTATGTATGAGAAAATAATTACCATACAACCTACGTAACAGAATACTATTCGTATTTCATTGCGTAAATTCTGTGATTGGATATCTATAGAGGTATTGCCATTTAGCTTAATGAACAATATGTTTGTTACATGCAAATCATACCCAAGTTAACATGCTCGTAATTGAACACAGTAATTGTAGTGAATTTGTCAAGCGGGATAAAAATTAGATATTTAATCTGGGTTTATTCTATGAATGAGTTTGAATTTAACACCAAAATTGTAAAACATAATAAACGAATGAAATAATCTCCGAGAAATAACATTTGAAAAATATTTTTGTAAACTTTCATTCAAAAGTATTTAAAATTGAGCAGCAAAAAAATCAAAACACAATTTCACATTTAGCATATTTTGCATGAGAAAAAAATAAGGATTAATTGAAAATTATATTTGAAATTTACTGGGTATTTAATATTTGTGAAAATCAAGAATTGCGATAATTTTGAAATGCAAAATTATTGAATCTGTCTAAATGACGGGTCTAAATTATTCAAAACTAGGTGGTTTAAAGCATTGAGTGTATTCTCGATACCATATGAGAACTGGCACGTAGTACTCATATAAAGCTGACAGGTGAAAACAGAGTTAAACAGTTATCAATATTTCGTTATACTTGTGCTTCATATTCCATACAGTATATTCTCGATGTCTATACATTTCTACATGGATTTCATTTTCGTGAATTACATAATCGATGGGAAATGTATAATTATCTTTGAATCGAATTTTAAACTCAGGAACGTCAAATTCTTCATCAGCATTTGGTAAATTTTTGATTAAAAAAAATTTATGCTTTTAAATTTTTGGTAATTGTTAATATTATTTTATGGAGATGTTTCCAATTGTTGGAAGTAATGATTTTTATTATCTTAAAATTAATTTTAAGTTGTAATTTACTATTAATACTGAAAGATAAAAATTATTTGATGATTTAATTAAAATTAATAGAGTACTAATTCATTTTATTTTGATTGTTACAGAGGTGCTTTCTCCGTTGTTCGACGATGCGTTCAAAAAAGTTCAGGACTCGAATTTGCGGCGAAAATTATTAATACAAAAAAACTCTCCGCGCGAGGTAAGTCTCTTCTTTTCTTTTGCCTTAAACTCTTATTCCCTTTTATCAAGCAATCCTTCTTTGATCTATTATCCTCTCTGTAATGTTACAAATTAAATTCTCAGTCAATTGAGTATCATCTCGTTATGAAGTTTCCTCAAAGAATGGCGAAACTAGTTCAAAAAGTTTGATTAAATTTTAACTTAGAAAATTCTCTTAATAAAGGAACACTGATTATGTTGTACAGTAACACTAAAATGCTTTGAAAGTTTTTGATAATTGATTATCTGTGACGGAATAATTTTTAAGAAACGTAAATTCAAGAAAGATATTGTTGATATCTGTCGATGTTTTGGCATCGAAAGTAAGTACTGTTGTCACTTTGCCAACATTCCGTCAGGTTCGTCACTTGCCACTAGTGTAGAATCATTGGCCTGGAAGATATGCCTTCTCGTCTTCCTCTGCCTTTCGAAATTCAACTACGTAGACAAATTTCTTGAATTCTTCTCCTAGTGTTACAAGTCCATGTAGAATTTTACTTTGAAATCGGTCACCAAAAAAATACTCCTCAATTTTTGTTTATTAAATTCCTTAGTGTGTCATTTTAGTTTGTCATTTTCGTAACTGTATTTATAGAGAAGATAACCTTAAATAGATAAAATTTTGAATATTTTAAAGCGAGCATTTGACTGAAATAATTTAATATAGATGTGTGTTTGCGCATGATGAGTTAATGCAAACGATTTAACATATATTCATATATGAGCGAAGAGATAATTCTCTAAAGCTGACCACCTGACTTTAGCGATAGAGGTTCAGTGAAGAGGAAGTGCGTGCGGTGTAGATGCTCTACTCCAGTTTCTCGCCTATTTCGAATAGCATAAACTGATCTATGAACTATTAGATATTGTAAGCTTGAAGTTATGTATTTCTGGAAACTAAACCTACGCTGTTTAACACTGGCTATGCACACTATAATAATAGATTCATCTAGTAACTACGAGTAGGCTTATGACTCATGACGATAGACATACTTGAGCGTATGTATTAATTGCCTGTCATTCTAATCCCTTAGGGTTGATTTTAGCCTCTATCAATATGATACTAACGGTAAGTGTTTAAGGATACGGCTGTATACAAAATAACTCAAACAATTATCATTCCTCCATTTTCTAATGATCCTCGGATTAGGTCAAACAAAGCTGGTTACATTTTTGTAATTCTTTTCCACTTGGTAATGCTACTAAAAATCCCTGAATTTTCTAGATAGTCGACAATTGTTCCAGTCATCATTTTGTAACAGTAATTTGATTGATGAAAATTATGCATGAACTGTTCTGTGTAACTTCATTCAATGAAAAATAATAATCTAAGGCGGAAATCCGCGATGGATGCGACTCTTGTTCTGGTCGACCCACTAAAAACCACTCCCGTCTTTAACAGGAATTACCTTTCGGCTTTAAACTTCGCAGATGATGGTCCCTTCTCGTCGCTTACGCGATGCTACCGTACCACTCTTGTTATGGCTTTACTTATTCTTAATTCTTACCTGTGTTTTCTTAGCCTCCTTTATGACATTTATGACTTGACATTCTCAACTGATAGCTACGTGATTTACACTTGCGTTTTCTTCAAACTTTTCCTCATATGGAAAACAGCTTGAACCCCTTTTACAGTTCGCAAACTTATGATCAACTTCTCCGCACTTGAAGCACGCAGTCAATCTGTTTGCCGCCTTACAAACAGATCCTATGTGGCTATATCCAAGACAACGATGGCATTGTACATAAATTCCATCTTTATGCGCCCCAGTTTCTTCAGGTAGTACTACACTTTAGAAGGCTCTTAAAAGACCAAATTTAAAAAAAAATTTTCTTAGGTTTTTTATTATAAATATTTAAAAAAACTTTTTTGCCTATATTAGTACATATTTGGAGAATAAAAATAATGGTTTGTTTTCAATTTTTATTTAATATCATAATCTGCAGACAGCATTCAGATCGAAACTCCAAAAAGTTAGTTGTCCAATTGCGGACAGTTTATCTCAAGATTGACAAATCGGAAACAGAAAATCCAAATTGCTTTTTAAAAAGGAAGCTGTCTTGCATAGAAATGTACCACCAATAATGGAAAATCGACTAAAATAAAAAATAGCAGATGTTTCAATAATTTGTTTAAAAATACACTAGGTTTTTCAGTATTTTTCTAGTCTGCAAAAATGTTTTTTTTTAATTTTTTGACCATTTTCTGGTAAATTCTCACACAGGACATACTAAAAAACAAATTGAGTTATCATTTATTAAAATCGGTTTAGTAGATTCAGAGATAAACTGTCCGCAATTTGAGAAAACGTTATTTTGAGAAAAACGCGTTTAAACTTATATGTATCGTTAGAGGCCATCCATAAATTACCTAAAATTCTTTTGCAAATTGAAACCCCACCATTTTTTTATGCCAGACACTGTTACATACATTAGCACCAATGTTTCTACTGGTCGTAACAAAAAGCTGGACCCCACCATCCTCTTAAAGACTTACTTAATTTGTCAATGACTTTTTACATTAATTGAATATTTTTTGAAAAATTTACTTTTATTTTTTACAATCGGTTATAAATACTTTAGGAAGTGTTTTCTGAAGTCATAAGGAGTTAAAAAATACAATAAAAAAAATAAAATTTTTTTAAATTCTAAAGTGTAGTAGTACCTTCAGCTGATTCGCTTCTTCCTGGTCAGCGTCTACAACAAAGAGCTTCATCCCTCGTTTCTTTGGTCCTAAGCGAGTCACCTTTTTGCTTCTCGTGAACATCTTGTAACCTCTGTTACACCTCATCTTTCTGGGTAAGGCAATCCAAGTTGCGGATCTTGATAGTATCTCTTCGATTCACCGACTGTACCTTTCCTATGCTTCTGACCTCGGAGGTAAAAGTTTTATTAGAGCCTCCTCTGATTTACCTCTTTACAAATTTTAGCCAGTACGTCATCAGCGTATTCCACTCTTTAACTGAGTGGGTACCTCCGTCACCCTAGTGCTCTGAAGGCACCAGACTAATAACATTTTTAGTGCTACTGGCACTCAAGAAGCTATAGATGAACTTCCTTTTCTACTTTTTCTTTCTCCATCCACGATGGTCTGTGGATCCAAGCTTTTCACAATGATCCGTGAAATCGCAAGAAATGGTGCGCCCTTACAATCCTGGCGCACTTTTTCTGAATTTATAGGATGCATTTATTCTAGCTATTTGGCCGTCCCTTAGTGAAAAACCCCGCCACCACGACAAGGTCTACCCTTCATATCCGTGATGTATGTTGTTTGTTAGTGGACAACAAAGTCCCAATATATCCATGACATCTATGATGTTTGGCAGTGGACATACTTTCCTGTTGATCTAAGTAAATATCTTCTCATGATCTTCAGTAGACTCCTCAACCCAAAATAGGTTTAATTGAAACTAATGTAAAACGAAGAAAATAGAGAAGATTTAAAGAGGTTTTATTCTAGACGTAAGTCTATTATCATTTTATTTGTATTAAATGTATAATATTAATGACGAAAGCATACTGTTGCTGACCTTTCTAAGAAGTCTTCTTTAAACTTAATGTATGGAGGAAGAATGCATTTTTTCGGAGCAATTTGTGTAAAGAATGAAGCCGAAAACGATTTCTAAGACATGAAGCCAGACTAACGTTATAATCAAATCAATTAAAATGTTGCGCGGGCAAACTTATCCGATAAACGGCATTGTGTTACGATCAATGGGATTAGTTGCTATAGGTAGTAAAGATAATTTCTACATCAATATCCCAGCACATTTGACATATTTATAATTTATATCGAAATTAGAATAATGTGCACTTTTCCAAATTACCAAAAACTATATTTTGCTTAACGATAGGGCAGATAAACTTCACACTATAAATTTACTATTTAATTCTATTGAAGCTTTATCAAAACCTAAAGATTAATTTCACATTAAATTAGATGAAATACCTAAATAATTTGTTTACATGTTCAACGCGAATAACAATACCAATTGTATACATTATATCTCGACTCTAGAAACAAAACGATTTATAGATTATGAATATAAATCACGAACTTAGTGGTCAACAGTCTGTTTAAGGAGGAAATTTAGAAATGTAATGTATATTCATGAAATGTGCAGATTACTATTGAACATGTAAGTGACATTAGAATAAATGGGGAAAAGCACTTTTGTTTGGTACTTGCGTGTCAATTAGCTTTTGCTTTACAATTTTTATTCTCTTTTTTGCCATAAATTTACAATTTCTTCGACCATGAAAATAAAAATGGAATCCTTAGTGGCAAAATAATAAAAATCCGCCAATTTTATGAAAACTTCATTACTTTTGTAGTAACAAGATTTTATTTACGATTTCCTGGTTTAAGAAAAAAAAATTTTTTTCATACTTTTTAATATCTTTTTTTTATCACATTGGTAGCAATTATTTGCAAGTGTAACATCGTTTTTACTTTCCTGTTTTAATAATTATGATCCTAGCGAATAAGAATGGTAATGGCATATTCAATACAAATATTATTTTTTTTATAGTTACGGCATTAAAATATCGAATTAAATTTGGAAAACTAATGATTAAATTAGTTTTGGATTAATTTTTAAATCGACGTTCAGTATAGAAGCAATTTTTAAATTGTTATTTGGTAATTACTGTTTTTAAATTCTAAGTGGAATTCAATTTACAATTTTAATAATTCAAAAACTCAATCAAATTTATTAGAATGGAAACTAATTTCAGTAGTGACTGGTTTACATCAAACTTTCCAACTCTTAGTAAGGGAGTAAAACTTGACCAATTTACGACCCTCCTTGGCTTAATATATTTCCGTTCTTCCTCGAGTATTTCAGCATTTGCAGTTAACTGCAACGTGAGAAGCATGAGTGAATAGCAGAGAATATAACTGCCTCCAGAGTGCAGTGAAGAACTTTATAATTATCTCATTACAGTTTGTCAATGCTTTTTTTGACTTATTCGGGAAACATGCACTTCAGAAATAATATTGATTAGATATATTCTGATGTCGAATTCTTAAGGAAGGTACATCGGTTGCAATTAGAAAAAAGTGTAATCTAGCTTTGTCTAATCAGATGATTCTCAGTGCTCAGTCTTCTGTTAATTTGGAGTGCGTTATGGATGCCATGAAACAATTAACACAAACTGTCTCCAAAAAGTTTACCACAATGTTGGAGAATTTTATGGACATAAATCAGTGGCGGATCCAAGGGGAGGGTCATGACCCCCCCCTGGTGCAAAAAATTTACATAAAAAAGGTCAGCTAATTATGGTCGTCGCTTGCCGCATCTAAGGATGACCCCTCCCTGAAGTAAATTCTGGATCCGCCACTGACATAAATGCAAAACTTGATGACACGCTCTCTGGACTTACAACTATGTAGGGGAGAGTAATTGATTTGATAGATAGTCTTGCTGTTGTTGACGAGAGACTTGACAAGTATGAGACGGGATGTTCACAAATAGTTAACCCAGTACTCGAGACCAATGCCTGCACCAATTGAATTTATTGTTGATAGGTCGGAAAGAAAGTGTGATGTAGTTTTGTTCAATCTTCCTGAAGATAAAACCCCAAACACAGACTCTAACACCTTGAAAGCTGTTGTCATTAACAAAAAGCTTAGGGGGTTAAGTGTGCAAAAACTGCCCCCGCATCTATTTTTCTCAAATTTGGCCCATATATTACTATCCATATGATTATAACTTTCTGCAATTTTGAACTCAAAATTCGCTTTTTTGGGGGAGTTATGGAGGGGGAAAGCAAAATCAAAAAACTTATTTTTTTCAAAAACTACTTAACCGATTTTAATGAAATTTAAAGAGGTTGTAAATATAGATAAGACCATTTTAGAAAAAAAATCTTTTTTTTTCAAAAAAAATTTTCAAAATTTTTGTTTAAGGTTATTTTTTGAAGTGACCACTTTCTCTTTTGTTGTAAAAAGTACCTTATAATGTCCCCTTGAACATATATTTTTTCCAAATTTTTTAAAAATATAGTTTTTGAGTAAAATGTCAAAAACCATGGTCATGCTATTTGTCACGTACGGTAATGCACATATAATATATACATATGGGCAATTTCATGTGATAGGGTATAGCCAAATAAGTATGGAAAAAGTGACCCAAATATATTTTTCCCATTCATTCCTACCCACTTAAAAATAACTTTTTGAAATTTTTAACTCAAAATTTTGAGTTTTTTGGAACTTATGGAGGGGAAAAAATCGAAAAACGCATTTTTCTCAAAAACTACTGTATGCATTTTAATCAGCTTTGGATATGTTAAAAAGACAATTTAAGAGATTCCAAAAAAAAATTTCAAATTTTTTTTTTGAAAATTTTAAAATTAAATTTTTTGAAATTTTCAAAAAAAAAAATTTTTTAGTTCTATTAAAGTGACATTTTTATGTATTTTCTTATTTCATTCTCTTATGTGATCTACTTAATAAAAAAATTTTGCCCGACATGATTTCAGGGTGTGTCACGGTAAATGACACAAAAACCCTACCCGGTACTTTTTTATGTTGTAGTATGTGAATGGTTAATTAATTAATTATTTAATTACAAATTAATACTTAGAGGTTTTCTGAATACAAGTCTGAAATCGATGTCAAAAAAAATTTATTTCCAAAGAAAAATCCAAAATTTTAGAGTGCGTCACGGTAAAAAAATTAAAAAATCCTAAAATTTGATTTTAAAATTTTCCACATTTTTTTGTTTGACTAAAAATATTTTTTTATATCAACTTTAGATTTGTGTTTAGCAACCTCAATAACCCACTAGTAATA